CCGTCGTTCGAAAGCGAGTGATTCCTAATTTCATGGTCAAACAACGGAACAGTTCAGATTCAAACTGACGTCCACGATCTGTAGTAATGGTTGTTGGGCAGCCTAATAACCTTAGATTTCTGACAGCTTACACAGGAGCGTGCCCACTCACTCACGTCTTTATTCATACCAGGCCAGTAAAACCGTTCTGCTATAAGCTTGATGGTTGCACGAACACCTGGATGAGAAAGTCTGTGCAACGTATCGAGGACGTCGCGTCGATATTGTTTCGGCACGATTGGGCGATCCCTACCTGTAGATGTGTCACAAAGTAAGGTTTCCTTACCTGTTCCCATCTGTTTAATGCGCAGTTTAAGCGTTGTTGAGGCCAACTCGTGCTGAAGATCACTGTCTTCTTTTTGAAGTTGGGCGAGTTTTTAAAGGTCGATTCCTTGGGAACTGTTCAAGGAATTTATACGAGACAAGGCGTCTGCAACTACATTGTTTGCTCCAGAAATGTCTTGAATATCTGAAGTAGACTGTGAAATGTAGTCCAGTTGTCGAGACTCACGAGGTGAGTACTTGTCCGAAGAAGAGCTTAAGGAGAAAGTAAGTGGTTTATGGTCGGTAAAAATGGTAAATTCACGGCCTTCGATATGGTGTTGAAAATGTCGGACAGCACAATACATAGCTAGGAGTTCCCTACCGAATGTGCTGTGCCTCGATTCAGTGTCTAGCAACCGTCTAGAGAAAAATGCCAAAGGTTGCCAGGAGTGGTTAACCCATTGTTGTAAGACTGCTCCGATTGCTGAGTCGGATGCGTCTACTGAGATGCTAATGGGCGCTTTAGGGTCCTGATGAGCAAGCATTGCTGCTCAGGCGATATGTTTCTCAACTGTGGAGAATGCTTTTCGGGTAATGTCATCTACATTAATGGATTTCGCATTTCCACGAAGTTGGTCGGTAAAGGGTTTCATAAGTAACGCGCATTTCGGTATGAATCGTCTATATAAACTTACCAGACCGTTAAACGTGCGCAATTGCTTGATGGTGGTCGGTTCTGGGTAATCCAGAATGGCCACCACTTTTGTTCTAAGGGGTCGAATGCCATGCGCATCTATGGTGTGTCCTAAGAAGTCTAAGGATTTGGTTCCGATTTGGCATTTCTGAATGTTTACGGTAATGCCATGTTTTTGTAGTCGGTCGAAAACAATGTCCAGATGCTGGAGATGTGATTCTCTGTCCGGACTTGCTATTAGACAGTCATCAACGTATGCATGTACGAAGTTGAGACCTCGAAAAACGTCATCTATGAACCTTTGGAAAGAGTGTGCCGCGTTTCTCAGACCGAAAGGCATTCGCAAAAATTCATAGAGTCCGAAGCGGTTTTTGGAATGTCTTCAGTGACCATAGGAATTTGGTTATAAGCTTTTACCAAGTCAATTTTTGAAAAGACAGTTGCACCTTTCAAGGTAGCTGTCAAATCGTGAATGTGGGGCAACGGGTAACGATCGGGAACGGTTTTTGCATTCAATCTCCGATAGTCACCAGTTGGACGCCAATCGTTGCTGTCCTTTTTAGGGACCATGTGCAACGGAGATGCCCATGGGCTATTTGACGGTCGTATGATTCCTAAGTTTATCATATGGTCGAATTCGTTTTTCGCCAACCTTAACTTTTCGGGGGCCAGTCGGCGTGCTTTCGAGAAGACAGGTGGTCCTGTAGTCGTGATGTGATGTGTAACATTGCTGGTTACACACGGCAATTTCGGTTGCGATTGGTAAATGCCAGAATATTTATCGAGTAGTGGTTGGTAGAAGGGGTCTGTAGTGTGCCTAACAGTGACTGGAAATAACCTGCAACCAGAAAAAGAAGTCAGGCAAACAGATAAATTAGTGTTTCCGTCTACTAACCTCCGTTTGCGCGTATCGATAATTAAGTTGTGGTGTTGTAGAAGGTCCATACCAATGATTGGCATAGAAACATCTGCAACAACAAAAATCCAGTGAATGGGTTTGCGTAAACCCACGTTAAGATAAACATACCTTTGGCCATAAGTAGCGATAGGCTTTCCGTTTGACGCCTGTAGATTTAAAACGGGCTTGTGTAGCCGGTCGTTGGAATTCGCTGGGAGAACGCTAACTTCTGCGCCAGTATCTACGAGGTAGCGAACTCTCGTTATCACATCAGTGAAATATAAAAGACGGCTATGTTCGCCGGCTACGGTCGCCGTTAACGCGTGCCGGCTTGGAAGTTTCCCGAAACGTTCTTTGCGTCCACCTATTTCGCGTTGGGAAAGTTGCAGGGTTTTCTGCAATTTCTGGCGGACTTTCCGTACTGGTTATGGTACCAGCACCAATCAGGATCATCCGTCTCTCGAGTTCTAGATACGGATCGCCTACGTGATGTGCTTCTCCGCGGAGTAAGTGATCGTTTACGGTCGTTACCGAGTTTGAGATAACGCGTAAGTGTATGACATAACTGTGTTATGTCATTCTGGGTCGTTTGAGGCTTTTCTTTGACTGAAAAAACCTCGGCGTCAGAAGATCTGGTGATTTCGAGAATGCAGTTGGCAGATGCAGCTAGCTCGTCTACGGCGTTGTTTTGAAACGAGACCAAAACAGCTTGCACCTGTTGAGGAAGTTTGGATAAGAAAATTTGTTTGAATAGGCCGTCATCCAAGGTTCTTTGGCCAATGACTTCTCGCATTCTTTGCAACATGTCTGTGGCAGAACCGTGTTGCAGGTCGATGTTGTTGAGGAGTTGGTCTAACCTTTGTCGATCGGTTAGATCTCCGCGTTTAAGGATGGCCTGTTTCAGGGTTTGGTATGGATCAGAAACATCACTAGTATACATACTAGGTGTAACGTACCTGTTAAATTCGCGCGGTAGTGCCTTGACTACTGCGAGGAATTGTGTGCGCGTATCGTTCACAACCTGCTCGAAGAAGTCGGCTTCTGCATAACAAAACCAGGCTTCGATGTTGTCTGGCCAGAAAGGCATAAGTTGGAAAGAGGGTGGGGACACAGTCTTTAACTTAAATACTTTAGGGGTCTGTTCAGTCATAGTAATATACCAAGTACGAGAAGTGAACGAGTGGCAAATATATATATGAACCCAAAAACACGGAAAAAAAATATCACAATGTAAAAAAAAGAAATTAAAACAAGACAATGATATATAAAATCACAAAAGGAACAGACTCACAGTTTACAATATGGTGTACCAGATCACGTCGGGCTCACCAATGAAGATGCCACAGGTATTCGGAGTTTGACAACGCTTTAACCAGTAACACCTTCTAATACGAAGCGCACCCACCAAGTAAAATCAAGACAGAAGTGAGGAGATCGAAGATATATTTGATAAGCTATCAATATATCGAGGATCGTTTGCACTAATCTGGCTAGCGATTGCGGCAGATGTTGAGCACGGCGTTCCCACACGTGATCTGGTGCGGATGCTTGATCGAGCGCCTTCAGCTAGATGAGTCCACTAAAACTGTGGTCAGCATCCAATGTCGAAAACTTACAGAGCTATTTGATTTTGGGGAATTATTTACCGCTACAACTCAAAAGATAAGAGCACAGATGCTTTAATTATTCTTAAAATGTAGCATAGTCTTTAAAATAAAAATGGTTATTTGCCATCAAGTATGATCTAAGACCGTTTAAAGTAAGCGGAAATCAACAGAATAGCAAACCTGCAGCATTAGACTCAGTAATATAGACTCAACGACACACAAGATAACATCTTACACGTACACAAAAACGGCAAAAACTGCTTTTCTGTCGTGCCCTTATTGATAAGTAAAGAGCTTTCATATCAACCACTTTCCCCTCCCAGCTACCTTGAAGGCTCGGATCATGGTAGACATTTTGTGTTTTAAGCTCTTGAGTCGATTGCTTGCGTCCAGATTGGTATAAATTACAAACCTTATCAGTTTTTTTGTTGCTTTCCAATAATATTTATACCACAATAAAAGGATGAACTTTCATAGGTACCTAGAGTTATTTATGAAGATTCTGAGCTTTACAGTTGTTTGCGATATTCTATTTCTAACAAAGCTTTCAGTGAATATTCGAAAATCTAGTTTCTTTATGACAAATTGTGTCAGAGCTCCGTTGATGGTCTATTTTAATGGTGCCATAGTTGTCAAACATAGCAGAGAACAGAAACAAGTAGACTAAAGAGAAGACACTAATCACAGTACTTCTCCTTGTTTGTATTTTAACTGAACTAAATATCTTGTCATAGACCTTTATCCAGATTTTTGCTTCCCACATAAGTCGGAATACTGGAAGTAGTTCACACATGTGTTCTCAAGCACATTCCTTAAAACCGTTATTACTACAATTATTATCATTATTGTTTTTAACATATTTAATATAATCAGATATACTTTGCTTCGATTGTTGTTGTGATGTGGGTAAATAGATGGACGTTGCTCTTAGATAGAGATTCATCATTGTCTGAGATAAGGAATGTCAACGAAATAAATAACGACTCCTTAATGGTAACACTGGTCGACTTGTGAGTAATTAATATGATTCCAATCAAACTGCGAGCTCCTAGTCGTGGTGTTGATATGAACAACGGAAACTTGTACTATCTTGAAACCAAATTAGTACGGTTATAGTTCAATGATACTTGAAGACGAGTGCTTAGTTGCATGCATGACTAAAAGGCTTGGAGGATCAGTATACAAGTTTTATGAAAATGTTGCTTGTCACATACAGGTTGTCTCACCATGGCAGCACACCCAGACGTTTACTAGCGTACTTCGTAATGTTAAACACTACGAACCCATATGAAGCTTGCAAAGAATATGCCGCGTCACGTGCTTTTTGCTTATAGCACATTATTTAATGTCTCCGAACAAAACTGAATTGAGTAGGTTGTAATTTGAGCAAAACACTGACTCCTGTTACTGATACGATTGTATCCAATGACTAAGAAACACTTCTACTGATTCGATTTTATCAACGAACAAATTTGTTCGCATTATTAACAGCAATGTCATACTGTTGGTACGTCATCGATGTTTCACATATCTTGACATTTCATTATAAACTAAAAAGTATATTTCCAATATTTTTTGAACATAGCGAGTGATAGTTCAACATCTACGTAGCCTGTTCCAGTTACAATGCAATGAAAATTATTGGGGAACTTTGGGGAAATCCCCAAAGTCAAATGACCTTGGAGCCTAGGTTCCAATAATTGATGACCAGGTGTTATCCGAAGCAATGATGTCTGTACCTTCAATTTACTAATTCAAGAGAGGCCTGGACACTCATAGAAGCATACTAGAAAAGGAATAACATAGGCCGTAGGTTTTCTGTTCTTACTACTCAAATCTGAATTTGATCTCATCCATTTCAAATACAGCATACCCGCCATGGCATAAATTGTTGAAAGCTGTTGGGAAGGTGGCTGTGTGTTTTGAGAGGACTTCATCCTTCTAATATTATGATAATTTCATATCGTTGCCTTTCAATTTACAGTCAAAGTGGTTTTCAGGAGCTATTAATAGGCTTATTAGTAATACGAATCCTGTCTACATGTAGTCCCGAGCTCCCAATTTTGGGGAAAATTTTACCTATTTTGGGGAAATTCTGGGGAAATGGCACAAAAACCCCAAAATTTCCCCAGACCTTGGAGACGTTCCCCAAAATTTCCCCAAAGCTCCCCGAAATTGGGAGCTTGGGGTAATATATATATTAAGATGTCGTATTTCTATTCATAAACTAATCTTTAACTGTATCTGATTAACCGGAAAGTGGCTGGGGATTTATATCATTTTGTTTTCTACTCACCTTTATACTATCCTTTTGCCTAGAAATTTAGATGCGGGCAAACCAACCCAAGCTCCCAACTTAGGGGAAATTTTGGGGAACTTCCCCAAAGTCAGGGAAAATTTCGGGAAATTTCCCCAGTCTTTAAAGACTGGCTTCTGTCCATAGTTTTTGACTAATCCAACAACTGTTGGTGAGTTGTGTAGACTACATTGTTCAATTTTATTAAAGTATAGATCAACCCTTGGCCTTCTTCAGTAATTTAAATATAATCCGCCAAAGGAATATTTCATTGTAAAGCTTTCTTCCGAGTCATAGGCCTATGACTCGTGAGAGAATATATTCTCTCTTGCCATCATGAATTTCCTTAAGAATTCTGTTGCTGCATAGTATTTAGTTGTTATGCTAATTACGTTCAGTCTCTTCAAGTCAGTGCAATACTCCAGTTGGTCCTATAGGACCAACTGAAGCTATACACTATCTACATGGGCAAACTTGGGTATTTCTTATGTTTTGTGTCGCATTTCTCTCGAAGTTTTCAATAGGACTCTCAAATTTGTGATTTAAATAAAGCAAAGTTCCAACCCATAACATTGAATTAATATATAGACAGTTTGTACTGTAAAAGTTAGGTCTGATCGAATTGCATTACCATTTCTGATAATTAACAAATCACATTGACTTAATAAGTTTTCTATACTGCACCAGATTACATTCGTAAAAGTGCAGACTGCATTTGATTTATTTATTGGCTGATTTGATGAATCGATGTGAGGATCTTAAGGAACGTGTTCACGTTTTGCAGCAAGAGCTTGAAAAGAAACGTTTGCTTCTTCAGGTATTTATGTATCTTTGATTGGTTAATTTTTTTACAGAAGGCTGAAAAAAAATTAAAGTCTACTTTCATCACCCAGCCGAGCATTTTGTTGCCTGTAACAGAGGAAACATCTGAAGTAATTCCGGAAGGTTCTGGTAAATATTTGAATATTTAACTTTATCACAGTAGAAATTACTAATGTGAAACTATTCGGATCAAGTGAATCACCGGTGCAAGGTGTACTTATTCAACCTACCAGCGAAGAGTGTTGCAGACACATTACTTTCTGTGTTTTAGGGTCCTGTATTCTTTTATCGAATTCTCTGTTAATTACTTTGTACGACTCGAATCATATGCTCACTTTGTATAGTATATCACTTTGTAACAATGAATCACGGTTATTGTGGGAAAAAAAGCTGTTTGTCTCCGAAGTGACACTTTTGGAGATTATTATACCTCCAGGTAGCTCCTATAAAGAAACTGTTCATATAGGCGTCTTATTGGCTGAAAAACACTCACCAAAAAGCTTACCAGTCCTATTGCTATCATTATTCATGTTTTCTATCCCAATTGTTTTCAGCTTTACAGTTGATAATCATTTAACTCACCTATGCCTTACGGATGTACAAACAGTCCCTGTAATAAATACGAATTTCAATACAGATCGTACGTGTTCTTCGGGAATTGTGTACGAATTTTATGTCAATCGTAAAAATGATCTAATGTTTGTGTTATATGTTCCTGATATGCTTTCATACACCATTCATCAGTTATCATATGATGGGAAATTATGTTTAGTTCCTTTATTGTGTCGCTGTGACGCAATGGATTCACCTAAGCCAAAATTCAACTCTTGGTTTACTGCATTAAGTCATTGTACAGAAAAGCCGACATCATTATCACAGTCAGTTTGTATTCTAGGCATTCATTTCAATCCAACATCAACCGAACTTGTTGGTTGTCTCATGCGCACAAACGACAGTGAGAAACATATTGTGGGTGAATACGTGTCAAAACGGTTTACGTTCAGTAAATTAGCACAGAACATGTACTTAAATGCTCCAGTGAAACCATGTTCTAAACTTTTAGTTGTTGCAAGTGAACGGCCTAATTTTCTGGTGTTTTCCGTTGTTGTAAAAAGCTGTTTATTAAATTCATGCAAATATTACTTTACTATGGGTGTTGTTTCAATGAATGGTAAACCTCGTGGATCTGTTATACGATTAATTCCTATTCATGTCGATCAGCAAGATGTGTATGGATCAGAATTAGCTTGGAGCTTATTTACTCCCCAAAACAGACCGTATAGTCAGTGTTTGCTAAGATTTGTCGCATCATGTGCTGAACAAAGAAATTTAACTATCAGTGCATGGTCAGTTAATAAATTAGTAATCGACTGTTGTGATAAAACTTCCAGCAATGAAGTTGTCAAGGTTTCTTGTTTTAACTTTTCTGAAGTAAATAAGACATTAAATTTACTTATTTTGTATCATTCAGATTGTATTTTCCCAAAGCAGATTTGTACATTGTACTATAGTCGTAATCTGAATAAAATTGTGCAACTGCACAGTTCATAAACATTGTTCATTGTTGATACTTTTTAGTCATCTTTGTTAAGTTTTAATTGTTCTAAGTACAATCGTAATGTTTATTTACATTGAGTGTGTTGCTACATACGAACCTTAAATTTTCTAAAAACCATCTGTGTTGTTTATTTAGACCTTTGTTTAGTAATCGTACACCAGATTCTGTATCTTATCTTTCCGTAATCTTATCCAATTATATTTCTTCAAAGTTAAGGGATCTAACTAGCCGAGCATTCGTAAAATTATCTGTGTCCTAAACCTCCAAATGATAAATATTTAGTCAATGCTAGGTCTAGAAATAACCTTTATTAAGTTTACAAACCTCACATAGCTAAGTGTTGGATGATAGTAACTGATATTGTCTTAGGTTCATTATCAGTCTTATGGACTCCTTTGTGGTTGTCACACTAGGATTTTCATCCTTGTTTATAAATCGGAATGATCGTTGGTCACAATCAGTTGGGAAAAATTATATCCCGGTTCCCATTCTCCAACTTGTCAGTCAGCCTAACTGCTGAAGATAGACCTCAGAAAACAACTAATCCGCTGTCATATTTCACTTCGAGTCATTGCCTTCTCGATTTCTGTGAGATCAGGTAGTGCTCTACTGTTCAGGCTGTCAGTGAATACTGGGTAGTTAAACTGTAGCTTGATATCAGTTAAGCTGTTGCAGTGTTTTCTGCTCGTAATTCTGGTTGCTCGATTTGAAAGTAGTCCATTTCTTCGCTAACAACCTACTTTTTATCCCTTATCACCCTGAACAACTGCTTCATGTTACCCATCACCACTACTGTTCCCATTTTTTTGTTTTTGTTACCCACCACCTCTCGATTACCGTGTAGTCTTTGTTCGTTTCTATTTCGATCTTCTTTGCTCCCTCATTAGTAATAGACGCACTGATAAATTTCTAAGCATATACTAGTCTAGCAGAACCTCCAAAGGTCGATTGGCCTTCGTTAACCTTTTGCTGCTGTTTTACTTTTGTTAACATGCTTCACTTATAGTGAAGACTAAAAATCCGTCTACCAACCAAAAGACGAGTATACAGTTCATCATTTCTGTTTTACTTTGTTATGTCCATAAGATGATTTTGAAGCATTGTTCGTATATTTTGGGAGCACCGAGTGGACAATGTTGGTGCTAAGCGAGGATAGAATGTCATTTGATGAACCAACTAAAGTAATATGTATGCCCAATCACTGTCTACGTAAACACTGGGTTATCTCCGTTGAGTGTAGTTATGCACAAACTTTTGTAGAAATATAATTAAAATTATTGTGAGGGTCGAAATAATATAGCTCCTTAGCTTGAAGTAATTTTAAGTAATTCGACTATTGGAACTGAATAATTAGTTAAAAGACGAATGCGTACAAAATTGAGTCGTAGGTTTTTAATATTTGAAGAATTTGGTTGATGTGGAGACAAGTCCAGATGATAGCTTAACTTTTGGACTGATGTTGGAGTTGGGTGTGTAGGTAATATACGAACATTAAATGACTGTTTAGTTACAAAACACTTATATTACTGAGGACATTTGAAAAGTTTGGAGACGTTTAAGGCAAGACGGGTATATTTATCCTTCAGATTAAAGTTTAACTCCCATCTGTAGCGTGACACTATCAAACAGCTCTTTTACAGCACTTTCCTAGATGATTTAGGAGTATGGTAATGTAGTATTTTGGGTATGCTGTTCTATATATATGTAAATATTAGTTGGTTGGAGAATGCTGGTCGGCGGCCTATGCTCCATTGGGAGTAACAGGCGTTAGTATTAGTTGGTTTTCCAGACAAGAAGCATTTCATGTATAGTGATAAGTCTAAGGACAGTTACATCATCTGGCTGTTGGTTAAAAGTTGGATACAATAAGGTATTTCGAAAGTCTGCAGAGATTCTGTGACTGTGTAGATTACCTACTATCAATTCATAATTCGTTTGTATGGGTATTCAAAGGAAACAAGTAGAATTTTGAGTGTCAAGAAAGGTCGGGGTGTATAAGTATGTGTATATACATTCATTGTAGCGTGACATGTCCAGACAGTAAATGGAGTCAGGAAAACCTACTCTGGGAACATGAGAATCTGAACAGACAGAATAGTTTGTTCTTACTGTTACAAATGATACCCAATTGCAAAAATTAAGTGGGCTTGACGTATATGTACTTACACCATTCTCACAATTCACATGCCTGAAGGGAAGAGCGCTTTTAAATCAGTTCACTCCCTGAAGTTAGGACATGTGGTTTTTGTGGTAAACTCTGAAGGACCATAAGGTAGTTGCTGTACGATGAAGAATGTTTGATGAACATGCCAATCAATCGAAACCTTTTAGAAGGCTCAGTAATATATACAAGTTGAGTGATACCGTGAAGGTGTTTCAAGTCTAAAAGGATATTGGACCTGGTATGGCTGGCCTGGTTATTTAACATAACCAACAATTTATGAATGATGAAGCTAAGTAAATATGGTTTTCTTTCTGATAGTTTACAGCCCAAGAATTCATTATTCATATTCTATCTGTAACTAAACCACATGAGTAGCATTTGAGTGCACTGAAAGTGCGATTGATGGCATTAAAAGTGGAAGTGCATTGAGAAAATAGGTATTATATTACTACCATCATCAATATTATTCGATTACCTGCATGTGTGTTGTTATGTACTTTGGTGACGAATGACTCATGAGAGTACATAACAGCACTCACATCCAGGAAACCGAATAATATTATTGATGATGTTAGTAATGTAATACCTATTTTCTTAATGCACTTCCACTTTTAATGCCATCAATCGCACTTTCAGTGCACTCAAATGCTACTCATGTGGTTTAGTTGGAGATGGAATATTATGGCGAATTCTTCAGATACAGACTATCAGGATAAACAAACAGATTTCAAATTTAATGTCAAGACTGAGGAGAAATTCGCTACTTCTTCATCACAACGAGCTAGGGGAAGTCGAAGGGTATAGTGTAGAGAAATAGATTTGTATGCATGGACGGATATCATTTGTTGGAGTCTAGTAAATTGATCCTGTACGTCTATTCCATCCTTTTTGGATTATGATTTAACAACTATGTGTGGAACGTAAGAACTACAACCTACTAACGTAACGTTTGGGGCATTAAAATGGAAACTACTTAAAAGCCAAACATACCTTTTCTACCAGCTAACAATTTACATGTCCATTTTCCGACTGCACTCTGGGGGTTAATAGTATTATGTCGCTACTCGAACATAACTAGGTTTAGCGTGGTTCGAATTTGCAACCCAACGGTTGAAAGTTGCATGATTTAATTAGTAGTTTATCATGATACATGAGATTCTCACATGCTTACACATATTGATGATGAAAATAAATCCAGAAATAATATTTAGCGAATGAGGGTCGGTATTTGTACAATTATTTTCTTCGTACTCAGGTACATTTTAGTCCAAGTGTAAACTTCCCAGTTGATATGCCTCTAGCATTTTATATCAAGCAAGTTTAAATGAAACAAATGATCAGGATGTACGAAGTGTATAGTTTACTACAAGTATGTACCTAGAAATGAAACATAAATTTTATTCCTCTAAATCTTTTCTGTCTAACCGATAGAGTCAAAATCCGATGTAGACGTTTAACTCATTGTTATAACATGCCAAATCTGGTGACATTTTGTAGGTCCAAAGGATGATATCCAATAATATTGTTTTTGTAATAGTGATAAATATGTCAGCTTGAGATTGAAAAGATGTTAGCATACATGAAGTAAATGTATTTATTATGTCACGAGATCATAGAAAGACTGTCAAATATCATTTAATTTACACAGAATGTCTAAAAACTAAAGGTATCTTCGCATTAAACTGCTGGATTTATAACTGTTAGTTATTAAAAATTTCATTTAATTCATCGTAGGTGTTCGACTCGCAAATGACTGGTCCTCCCCATACATAGCCATTTATTTTTATGATCAAGCTAGCAAGTCTAACTGGTTAAGTTAGTTCTACAATATCACACCTGAATGTCAAACATTTTTACCTCTTATTTGATAGGCAATAATCAGACCTAATAGTCACATACTTCTAAATCTTCGGAATCGTTTCTATATTACCGTTTAGCACAACATACAATCAAGATGTTCGAGTGCAACAGTAACCGCGGCAGAATTAAAAAGTAAAAACTGATCAAATATACGTAGAAAATAAACACCAATGCAGGAACATGTGACCAAAGAAGTAGCAGCATCGCTTAGTGTAAACTTTTATTTTTACTGAGAACATGGTAGGCAACCAAAAATTAGAAGCTAACAAAAATAAGAAAATACAGACAGAATAACTTCCAAAGGAAAAATAGCTAATATATTTGTTCTTCGATTTCTCTAAAAAAGGATGTGAGATTTGAAGCTGTACAGTAATTTGCATATATGTTTAAAATCTTCTTTGGTGATGAGTACGGTTGAAGCGTGGACCAGACACTTTTAAAGAATTAATGCCGATTCTTCTATACGTATTTCTATTTATCACCGGAGATATAGCACGAAACCGTCTGTTGTGAAGATTTATTCGTTCACGTTCGAATCGACGGAAAGATGAATTAGGATTAGTTGGTGGTACTGGAGAATGGTGAGTACGTCTTTTCGGCTGATTTGATGAAACAGATGATTTATTGTGCTTTCCAGAGGTGAAATCTCGGACACTCCTCTCTGGGGATTTGTAATGACGCTGACAAGGATGATATTTAGAAGCAGAGTTCGATGACCGATTAGGGTGATGACGATAGTGTTCATTACGAGAATTTCTTAATGAAGGTGATCTGGAAATGGATGAGGCATATTGTGACCCATGATTCCGATGACTTTCTGGTGAATGGGAAAATCTTGAAGTATTTGGATTGGAGGAGTGTTGGTCTTCTTAAAGTAAAAACAACAAAAGCACTCATAGGTTTAAAACTATTACATTTCCATAAAACCATTTTAAAAATTGTGGATGAGAAAATAACTATATATTTACTGATTTTCGCAAATAATAAAATCTAATCCGACAAACCAAAGTTCGTTTTGCTTTTCGACAATTCCAAGATACATCAATAAAGTATATTATAACTCAGCAGTGATTGTGCTGGTATAACTTGATGGTTTTATTATCGAATTAACCATATCATGAAAAATCTTAAGTGTAAAAACATTACATTCAAATCATATTGTATTCAAACCGCCATTGTCTTCTAGCATTATAAAAAGCACAATAGAAATAACTGTAAAACCGTGTCCACCTCGCTATACACAAAATGGTATTTTGCCATTTTTATAGTCTGTTTGAACGGTTGGGTCTGGAAAAACTACTTAGCTTTTGTGCAACAGTAAGGACCATCTGATGGCCGTCCGATTGAGCACATGATGAACGGGTATTATGAAGTAACTAAGATCGTACGAAATGCTATCACTGAAGTTTCCTAAACATGGTTACTTCAAAATGACATCGGATGCTGAACGAACAATAACAATTCTTACAATAAAATAATATGCCATATTTGCTCCGACAAGAGCAAGTTTTAAATTATCGTATGAGTTGAAATAAGGGTAATATAAGCTGTCGCACAGTCATCTATGTCGTAAAATTAAATAATATTTTGCAGACAGTATATTACATATTACAGAAAATAGAATATTCAGCACTATGAGAATGATCAAACACATGACACTCATATTTTAGTGAGATCGTATTACTTCGTAACATCGTGAAACCCTACGATTAATCTCTTGTGTATGTATCCTTGTCACACATGTATCCCAGTATGTTGTATGAATTGAAATTTAAGCTACAGGGTGAAGTATTACAAACCATTCATAATAATATGAAGACTGGTCATATAACCAAGTTATTGAAATAACATAGAATGGTGGACTGACAGATACACAGTAATGACATTCAACTTCGTTAAACAAACTAAATATCATATAAGGTTTAACATCATACGTTTAGAGTAACTTAAAAGAAACGTATTATGGAAATTTAGCTAAGTTCATAAGTATGAAGGAAAAAATTACTGATAACATGTATGAGTTACTGTCATTTAGTATCTGCTTATTTGAAATTCATAGTCAGGGACCAAAAAGTGTTATTAAAAATATAATAACTCCGCCTGGAGTCCCTCCGCGGGCTACTGCCGGTCCCAAACCCAGATAAAGGAGGAGGGTTGTGCACAAGGTTAGCGACCCATCCCGTAGAAAACTAACTCGCCAAAAAACGCTGACCAGAAAAAAATATTCAAACCATTTAAACTCTGCCCTGGGAGTCAGAAGGTCTTCATTTAGAAGAATTATGACGCCTCATGATGAAAGCCGAGTTCCTTCGGAAGTCACGAGGCCGATGCCCCTACTGATAACCAGAGCAACCATTTATTTAGGTACATGGAATGCTCGTACAATGTGGGAGACTGGGACAGTTTTCCAAATTGCTGCAGAAATGAGGAGATACAACCTAGAGGTGCCTGGGATCAGTGAAACACATTGGACGCAAGTTGGACAACAACGACTAGCTTCAGGGGAGCTGCTGTTATACTCCGGATATGAAGAAGAAAATGCCCCACATACACAAGGAGTTGCATTGCTGCTGTCCAAACAAGCACAAAATGCATTTATAGGATGGGAATCTCATGGACCAAGGATCATCAAGGCCTCCTTCGAAACAAAAAAAGAGGGCATTTCAATGAACATCATCCAATGCTATGAGACCACCGCGACTACAATGAAGACGTTAAAGATCAATTCTACGATAGGCTGTAGTCAATCGTCGAGAAGTGCTCAACAAAGTACTTGACCATTCTGATGGGAGATTTAAATGCCAAGGTTGTAATGGACAACACCGGATATGAAGAGATCATGGGACGACATGGACTAGGAGAAAGGAACGAAAATGGTGAGAGATTTTCAAACCTATATACCTTCAATAAACTGGTTATAGGCGGCACTATATTCCCACATAAACGCATCCGCAAAACCACATGGACTTCACCGGATCACACTACGCAAAACCAAATCGACCATATATGCATCAACAAAAAGTTCAGCAGGACGATGGAGGACTACGAAAGCTATTATCCAGAAGATATAGGTGTTTATTAACAGTTGTCTACGCAAAATACTTCGGATCCGTTGGCCGGACACTATTAGCAACAACCTACTGTGGGAGAGAACAAATCAGATTCCAGTGGAGGAAGAAATCAGGAAGAAGAGATGGAAGTGGATAGGATACATATTGAGGAAAGCAGCCAACTGCGCCATAAGACAAGCCCTCACACGGAATCCTCAAGGGCAAAGGAAAAGAGGAAGACCAAAGAATACATTACGCCGGGAAATGGAGATAGATATGAGAAAAATGAATAAGGATTGGATGGAACTAGAAAAGAAGGTCCAGGACAAAGTGGGTTGGAGAATACTGGTCGGCGATCTATGCTCCATTGGGAGTAACAGGTGTAAGTAAGTAGAAAAGTTAAATGACAAATATAAGTAGAGGTCGTTAAATCCAATGACATGACCACTGAATTTCGAATAAAGAACCTTCAGAAAGTTCAGATATTCTTATAGTATACCTTTTTCATAAGCATTGAGACAGAACCCCTCGATTAAGACAATTTAACGCAGCCTTTAGGTCAAGGATTGCAACAATCACCGGGCGTCGACAAAATTAGGATTGAAATTGATTATTTCAGTTGATGGTTTAAAAATAGTATTTTGGCAATGAGGACAGTCAACCTATAAAGTTGGTGAAAACTTTGCTTTTTCAAGCGTACCATTTTCCTCCCTTATCTCCATTCTTTTGATTAAGTCATTCAGTCTAATATGCTTCACTTGACTTGTACTGAACAAAACTTGTTTGATACTCTGTAAAGATGCCTACGTGCCTTTACTCACGTACAAACTGTCAAAATTCGGGAACAGTCTAAATAAGCATTGCTTAGGAAAAACTTAATCCGAATTTTTTCTGGAAGTAAAGAACTCGTGATTTTGGACCTTCGATTTGTAAATTAATTGGAACATATACATTACTCATAATCATAGTCTATTTAACTTTTATAATGTTAACTTATGATATACTATTGTTTTTATCGGGTTATTTCTATTCCATTTCTTTTAGTTCACTAAAAATTTTCATGATGAATCCATTTTTATATTATTTATGTTTACATAATTATACTTTTGATCCCAATATTCTTAAAAAGAGGAAAACACAATGCAAACAATTTTTCATTAGTTCAGTGGTGTTTTTTAAGATCCGCAAAGGCTCGAAATATGAATAGACTAAACACTTATGCTAATCTGAAAAACACTACTTTAAGCACTTTGATTATCATTATTTGAACACATAAACGTGGCTACGAAGGGGTATCAAAGGTTATATGCGCCGCACAATATAAATGAAGTTGCGATGAGATAGAGAAGGGAAGGTATAATATTTTAAAAAATGGATAAAAATTAGTTTCTGAGTGAAATAATAATAATAAGAGAAACAGTTCGGTTAAGAAAAATACGACCAGAAAAAATTCCTTCAGTTAAAGTTACATCCAGTTTTATGAAGAAAGTAACAGCAAGATCTCCACTGGCTTCTATTCTAAGCCATGTCTGATAACGTCTCTAGCCATTGTCGCACCACCTCAATGGTCCTAACTAGGGAGTCGTGAAGCTTCAACAGGAGTTAGCCCTGCACAACTTTCTTTCATACCAGAACACCATCAGTAATTACCATGGAATATGAAGGGGGAAAACATATAATTTTCACATACTCAGCGTTGAAAAGTCTTTCCCTGAAGAACAAATTTGGACTTTCATCATAACATATCTTTTTAGGGGACGTTTTCTTGGCATAATATTCAGTTGTAATGCTAGATGCAATCAATCTATCTAAGTCAATCCACACACTATAACACTTAAGGTTATACCAGCGCTTTAGAAGTAGTGGCAGAGTTGTATTTATTTATTTGAACACATAAATATTGGTATAAGGGGGCACCAAACATATATGCGGTAGAGTTGAAGTCATTGACACTGTCAGTAGATTATTGTGTTACGATCTACCGCAATAATCTATAACAGGCTTTGTTTAAACATTTGACCTAGCTTCACATGAACTACTATCGATGGGATACCAGCTAACTAGTATTGTTTCGACTCTAGCGCACAATCCAACACTGTCACTGACACAGAGTCGCCAGATTAGTACATAATATTGGTTTTCAGATCAACACATGGAAAACAGGTTTCGCTGGAATCTTCGAGAGACAAACAGTACTAACAGAGAGACTTTTTAGTTTCCTAGTCTGCATCTAAGTGAGGATGTTGCAAAAAAGAAGTTTAGAAAAGATTAACGATATCATATTAGTTACACTAGATATTGTATTGGGTGATACGTTTCGAAAGCCAACCACTTTATGACATAGATATGTTTGAATAGTTCATAACATTTTACAAAGCGGCCTGCTGAGTAAGATTAAGACGATGAAAGAGTACACTATATGGAAATAAGACGACACAGATACACTCGTTGTTTGCGAGCATATTTTTATAGAGCATATAATACCCATTCTTTATTCGTGATAGTCATAAATGTTGTGATACTGCTCGATTGCTTTTGACTTTAACGTTTGACACACAGAACAGTGAAGCAACATAAAGAGACATATTCTCATAGCAGTCAGTAGCAAAATTGTTAACCATGATCATCAGGACCCAACTCCATAGGTACTCTCTTATGCTGATCAAAGCAGCCTAAGCATTGGCTATCCATCTTCACCCTATAGCTTATGTAGGAACATTTTGGCCATGTGATGAGTAGGGTTTCTGTAAAAGAGACGACAAACGCCAGTCTGTCTGGAAATATTTCGAAAGAGGAAGTTGAATTTATCCACACTTGAGCTTAACAAGGTATTTGAGTGAACTGTGAAATTTGAAGGCCCCATAAATATCATGTTACTGTACGATTGGCACACCTCAAACTTAAACAAACTAAATACTAAGTACTGCCTCGTCTTAAAGGACCTTTTATTTTATATAACTTGGTTATGTAAATAATTTCATAGTAATAACTCTTTAGAAGCAGCACATCTAATAGGCATTCATACTGTATGCACTTATCAGTAAACATTCACACTACAAATGAGGAACCGATGTTTTTTCAACTAGATTAAATTAACGTATTGATCAGGTGATTGGGTATGAGCCCAAACCGAAGTAGGAACCTGTGTTAACTATAGTGCTTGATGACAAAACCTTGGTTTCATAATATGGTACAGGTTCACCTACAACACCAATGCTCAAGGTCGGAAGAGACCCCAGAACAAAAGTACTTACCGTATCCGGGAGAGGCTCGTAATGTCAAATCCATAAAACCAGAACTAGAGTTCCTGGAACCATCTTTTTCATAGTGTTGTGAACATCTGCTCCATCTCCGCTGTTCAATATTTGGGTACGGTGAGATATTTTTTGAATTTTCAGAGATCGAAACGTTTGTGGACTCAATAACATGTAAATCTGAGGAAATCTTTGGAGTTTTACAACTGGTAGGTGATGGACGAGACCAACATCTTTTGCGTGTACGAGCTGCATAAGGTGAAGAATTGAACACTTCAGTGTCATCGTCATCGTCTACGTCATCGGCGACTTCACCCTCTTCTTGGTTTTCTATTCCCCCACCACAGGTTTCAGAGTGGTCTGACTCCGTTAAAGAATGGTCCGATCTTGAATGAGAATGGCAACTGATGCAGAGTGACCGGCTGTTATTGCTACTAGTATGGGCAAATGAATCTTCTGGTTGAATCGGTATTTTTCTACAGAAACAAGGTATGGTTACAATTATTACGTAAATAAAACTATAAAACGACATGTATTTTGTACGTTACAACAAACTTGCTAGTACTAACCTTAGAGAATCATAACAATCGAACCCACGTTTCTGGCTTAATTATCGTTAAACACTGTTGTTAACCATTTTCTGATGACTCCAAACTTATTTTTATCCTGATATGCTTCGTTACTTATGTATTTTCTTAGAGAGATAGTTCTCGAGATAAATATTCAGTTGATGGTTGATATTTCTTCTTTTTTATATCAGCGTTTTGTTTCCATTGGATAGAATTCAAGGTCTAATTACTATTGTTCTTTGGTGTTCGACTAAAAGGATTTAGGATATTAATACTAATCTACTTGGCAGTAACAAGGACACTTAAGAATAAAAGGTATTTGATTTTTTATGTAGTACGATTACTATGTACAAACTGCAACTGATCCCCTTGAACGAAAATGAATATCACTTTTTCAATCATAGTAACTTTTATCGTCTAAAACATTGAGTTCTATATTTGAACCTTGAACCTAATGGAGGCAAGTACTTAATTCTGAAAGCATATGGTGAAATCCAAACAAACAAGCTAATTTACGCGGATATTATTTTATATGATATTCAGTTTACTGACGCAGAAACAATTTTGCTGAAAGTTAGAGAGCCATCGTGTTCACAATAGGTCAATAAGTTTAGATGTATTATTTCACCAGAACATATTCTGGATTTTCGATAATGATTATACGATACGAAACAGCCCTAAAAGATATCTATACAATATGGAAATGGATGCAGTATCACACCTGATCGAGTGATGAGTTAGTGTTTCAAGAACCAGAATTGTAACCGTTGGATAACTAGGCCTAGACTGTTATTAAAACAACTAATTGGTCAAGTATACGCTTGTTTACTAGAATGATAAACAGATAACTGTTGACTGAAAGATAATTTCTCCGTGAACGTACTAACAATAAAGATAGTAAGAGCAAAGCTATTTACAGTATCAGAGTTGTCCTCCATCAAATGTTTACAGGAAGCTACATAGAGTTATTCACTTTTCCTTTATTTTAGATAAACCGTCATAGCAAAGAAATTTTGAAAAAACATTTGAGGAAAACGGACCTTGTGAGAGGCGAAGCAGTTTTATCTTCAACACAATCCTGATCATGAGAAATAGGTGGAGTGAGTCCCAAGACTTCTGGAATAACTAATTCGCCAATTTTGTTTTCTATAGGGGAGAATGAAGCGTTTTTTGGCAAGAACTGATTTGAAGATTGATCAGATGGGTTGATAGAGTTTGTTACATGTTCATTAGAGTCATGGACGATTTCCTGAGTCGAATAATCTCTAAGAAGGTGAATATCACCAACAGTGTTTGATGAATCCGGAATTAAAGCATTAGGTGTAGAATTCTCATTAGAAGTTAACTGATCACTTTCTTTATCTGGTTTGTGACCTGAATCATTCGGTTCTCGAGAAGTTGACTCAACGATCATATTTGTACTATCGCCTTTACAACGTAGACGTCTTGTGTACAGTGTACAACTAGCTTCCCTAGTTCGTTTTTCGGGTTCGCTTGAGCAATCACCACTTTCCAAACGAGATATTTCGGTATGAGTTTGATATTTACGGTGTAAGTGTTTTGAATATCGATCACGGTGGATAGAATTGGCTAAGAAAAAAAAACTTTGTGAAGATAAAATTTCAGAAAAATAGTCCGAACATAGTGTACAAAAAATCTAAATGTGAGAGGAATTGCAGCACTAAAAATAAGGTGAATAAGCAATAGGGGTGACAAATTTTGACACACGTGAATACGTTTTGTTTACATAAAGTATTTTTCAGAAAGATTGAGTCCATTTGAGAAACCAGTCTAAAACTTCCTTAAATTCGCTACCAAGAGAACGAACAGCACATTTATCCGGTCTTTCAGGTAGACCTGTGATAACCTACGAACACTTTTACCACTACCTGGATTTAAGGTTGAACAGGTAGAAAAAATACTGGTTGTATAGGTACAATTGAACAAAAGCTACATAATAAAAAATTTACCTGCATTATGTTGTCTGCGAACTGCATGGTGATCTCGAGATAATCGTATGGCACCTTCTACGGCTTTCAGGAGATGATTCGGAACATGACCTCTGCAAGATGAATCTGGACCAGTACCTGAAAAGTCAAATGTTAGAATTCCACTAATTTATTAACCTACCAGGAAAGTAAAGAAGGTACAATAATGTGCGCAAAAGTAGAAATGTATTCGTTTTTATAGAGTAAGGTGACGATAAGAGCGCAGATAGTTAAGCGACTATATGGTGACAGCAAACGATCCCTGTGACAGTAGAATTCAACATCAACAAACAAAGGCTAAAAATGTTTGCCATACTTCTTACACTTACGACCTGTTTATCCCATTTAGACATACAGATGAAATTCTAAATAGTTGGTTGGCAGTAGAATCACAAGGTATACTTCTATGTAGTTAATACCTGTATAAAAGCGATTGATCGAAAGATATTTTAAGTGCATTTACATAGTATCAGGTTTGATTGAGAACATGATCTAATAAGCTCACATTTTTAGCACGGACATATGTCAGTTATTATAATGAATGAGGTGGTTTAATTTTCTGAACTATATAAATACAATAGGTCGAAAACAGACAGCGACAATAACAAACTACTCACCACTTGAATATGACTGCAACAAAACAGAATAATCAGTGTAGGGTTGTGGAGATTGTTGAGTTTTGCTTGAGATCATGAATGGATCAATGTTGGACGACCATTAAAAACCTGGAGGCACTGAACGACCGTTTCGTCCTAGTATGGAACTCCTCGGTAGTGCTTTCAGGTTTTCAATAATCGCCTAACACCAAAGATCAAATGAAATTGACTTTATTCATAATTATTCAAAACAACTTTTTTAATGACAAAACTCGTATCATGAAGTGCATTTTATTGAGACTGCAGTAAACTTATGATCAGCCTATGAAATGTGCTGCGTACGATATTCCATAATGATTTTAGGCTGTTAAAGTGTTCACAGTGAGCATAACAGTATTTAAATTTATACTAAAAACTTACAAGATTCATTAGTCTTACTTTGAGTGAGTCTAGGTAAGGAAGGAGAAACATGTTGAACCATTCTAAAGTCCTTTGAAGTAGAACTTCGAACAGAAGAGTGTTTGTTTATACTATTATTTAATGGCGATGAAAATTTTCTAACTCCTCGCATTGATAAAATTCTGCTTTCTGATGTGTCTGTTTTTCTTCCTGGATTACTTGCAACTTCATCATCTTTTTGTTTCCTTTGATGAAAGCAATGAGATTTAGAAAAGAACTGCCCATGAATTGTTTTAGTATATTTGCGCCTACATTCGTCAGCAATAGGAAGTTGTTTATCTGCATTATAAGCTGGCATACTTTTATCTCCAGATTTCTTATTAGAGCGATTAAGCCGTTTATTGACACGTGAACTACCAGATAAAGCACCATTTTGCTTGAGTTCACAGGATTTCTCATACACTCCATGTTTAACTGAGTCACGGCATCTACAATTCTCTAGGTTCTTTCCACCCACATCAACTACAGACAGTGAATGTGATAGTAACGATTTACCATCTACAGATGGGTCTAGGAAGCTATGTGAGAGTCCACTATTCATTAAACAAGTTTGAGACGTAGGTTGGTCCTGACTAGTAGAACTGGAAGATGATGTAGATGATGATGATGACGAGCTTGAAGACACTGAACGTGATGACTGTGAACCGAAAGAAGACCCAGATGAATGTGAATTATATTTTTTAACATGTTCAGTCTGTGTAACTGCATCGCACTTTGAAACAACATTAAGACTTTTATTCGGCACATTGTTACCAGAGTATATATTGATAGGTGGACGATCAGAATGTAAATATGCTACTAGGTCCGTGTAGTAATTCTGCTTCTCGGGGTTTATTTGGGTATCACAATTCAAATTCTTTTGGCTAACTGCTTTTGGCTCCGGAACCCTATATCTAGGATCAAAGTTTTACATTGCACAAACGAAAACATGAATTACGACATTTGAGAAGTATGGAGATTAGGAAACGACTGTCCAACTTTCCATAATTTAGACAGCAAAATAGAAAAAGTGTTAAGTGCTTATGTTGATGTGGCTAAAACCACTTAAAGTTAGGCAGAGTCAAAAGCAGGAAGGAAATGATACTTGATGATATTTTGAACTTTGGTTCACCCAAGCGGCCGGGGAACGTGTGGGATACGTTGAGTGACCTCCAACTATAGAACGATGCTAGTTCAAGTTGTTGTGTTGCAGAAATTATGAAATGGATAGACCTAAACATTGAATTAATCCATAAAGTTACTTAATATTAGTTTAGGCTGTGTAGATAAGTGTACTATTTCTGGGTGAAACCTCAGTACTTAATGTATGAAGACCGTAAGTGACACGGCTCGAAATCAATTAGAACAGTGAGAATGTATTTATTAACTTTCCAATATACATGAAAATCACTCATTTTATGGCTTTCATTCTATTGTGAATTTCCTCTTTGTGTTATACAGCGAAGTGAATCAGATTGAATTACTGTACCATAGTATAAAGTCCTACGTTATGTGGTTTGTAGCTTTAAGAAGATGGAAAAACATTTGAGTTAGATTGTGGAACTCCGGAATTGTTGTGAAAGTGAGAGACTGATAGAACATTATCTCGCATTAAACCTCTTTCAAGTGACAAATTTTGTTGAGGGTAGCGAGGTTTGTTCAGACCCTTCCATTAATGTCTTTATTGTTCTACACTTAATTTAGTATTCTGACAGTAGTATTTAGCTGACTATCCAAGTTTGTAACTCTGCCTGAAGCTTTTCTAGAGTTACTGCTGGTCCCAAGCCCACACAGAGGAGGGTTGAGTATGGGATCAGCAACCCCATCCCGCAGAAAAAAACTTGTTAAAAAACGTTAACCAGAGTAACCAAATCAAATAATTTCAACTCTGCCCTCCGAAATGAAGGAAGAATTATGGCACCTCATGATGAACTCCGATATTCTTTGGAAGTCACGAGGTCAATGCCCCTTCTAACAACCAGAGCAATATAGGTACGTGGGATGTCCGGACAATTTGAGAGGCCAGGAGGATCAGTCAAATAGCTGTATAAACTAGGATATACAACTTGACGGTGCTCGGAATCAGCGAAACCTAATGGACCCAAGCTGGACAAAAAAGGTTAAATTAAAAAGAAATGCTGTTGTACTCTGATCAAGAAGAAAATGCTTCGCACACTCAAGAAGTTGCTCTGATGTTATCTAAAAAAAAGCACGTAAAGCACCTATAGGATGGGGATCTCATGGATCCAGGATCATCAAAGCACCTTTCAAAACAAAAGGGGGATCACAATTAATGTTACCCAATGTTATACACCCACCAATAATAGCAATGAAGATGACAAATATCAGTTTTACAAGGGGCTGCAATAAATGATAGCAAAGTGCTCAGGAAACGACCTAGCCATCCTGATGGGAGAAGTGACTTACACTAAGTCACGAAACGTCAGAAAATCTAATTTTCTACTCATTGGGATATTACAAATATACATGAAACTACAATTCAACGGGGATGTGGCTAGCGATACTCTGAAATATAGGTTGACGAAAGTAATCAGAACATTTTACGCAGCCAATCTTGCGTTGACTTTCTCTTGTCGACCAGCGATATCTACTCAAACGAAGGATAAGTCACCTGAGTTGGTCTCCTCAATGTGCATCTACAAATTCAGCTGCTCCTGTGGAGATAGCTATATCGGGCGTACAACCAGACAACCAACGAATGAGTGAACATCTAACAACTTGGTTCATGAACGGCCAGATAAATATATTATTTATCTGCATATGAAATATTGCATGAAATGATATATTTACGATGATCAGCAAACCATGGGGAATAAAATGCTTATCTTTCTCAGTTATATTGCTTTCTAGTTTAAATGATTGCTTGTCCACCAAGAACACATTAATATATCATTTAGCTTTGGTAACAATGATGCATCTCTGAATATTCAAATGTTTCCACGAATGGTCGGTAGCATAATTATTTACCCTCAAATGCCCTGAGACGATCGAGGATGAGGAGAGTCCGCTCTCCCACTCGAAATACTGTCACATGGCTACGTGTATACAGCCAGTGACAGGGAAGTCCTACTCACTGCCTTCTCGTGACATTACTGTGGTTTACGAAATTGAAAGGACGAAAAGCGAACGTCCGGCTCTTTAACCGGGTTGGTGGTCACAGAAGGTCCACCTAGGGGAGTTGGAAAACCCTGATTCCAAACCAATGGTGCACATGGGTTCCAGCATCCCGAGGCAACAAATGGAGTAGGAACCTATTGTTGGTCACCGGCTACCATGGGACTGAATCTTTTAGTGTTGCTCCACTGCCTTGTGGATTAGACCTTCAGGTCAAAGGGTTGGCGTGGGGCCCCAAAAGAAGACCACCTGTTTCGACTCGGGCACCCGAGCAGTGTCACAGCCCTCACACGAATCAATGATAACTACTACTGGCCTCATTGTTATTGCGTGACGCATTTGTATTCGGTGCTTCCTTGTACCAATGTTTATGTGATCAAATAATAATAAATAATAATGTCGGATCATGCCAGTTTCCTTATTTTTGACTGTTAATTTTGTCATAGATGACAGGCTCAGAGAATATAAGTAACAACTATCGCAATACTCTATCTTATGACTGTTCACCAAAAAATTGATAAATACACCCATAAAAGTACAGCACCAAACAACTGTTACAATCTACCTTTTGGGTAAAAATTGTCTTTAAAAAGTGTTGGGGCGGGTGCATTCATCAACATAAAATACAACATTCAGATAAACGCTTATTAAAAAATTTTAAGTGAAATAAAAAAGGGCTGCTAAATCGACCATTAATAAATTGACGAACTGAAAGTGGCAGGTATCTTATACATATCATGATAATTGGCTTAACAAAGAAGACTCCAAATCGAGTTTTTAAAACACTGGACAGCAATACTGTAAACCTAAAAAACTGAACAGTATATGATTACCGTCATAAGAAATAAGAATCTGTTTAATATTTGAAGTTCTAAATCAAACGGATACTCAGAAGTCTTTTATTATTTACTCTCAGTTGTCTGAATATTTCATCATTTCTGTAAGTAACCAAAATTTACACTTAAATTAAATTAAAGAGGCAATATTGTTCAGTCTTTATGATTTCTATTAAATTGAACACAATCACTGAGTAGTCATCGTTCGCTAACATTGTATCATTTTGCATCAATTGATCAATCTCTATCCTTCATTTTAAGATGACGCATGCTCACAACCACAACTGTGAAATCAGTACTTGTATAGCAGCATCATTAAAACAGGCATGAATAACGTAGAACTTGCCCCCAAATGCCCTGGTACGGCCGAGAGTGGGGAGAGTCCGCTCTCCCTCTCGAAATGCTCTCACATGGCCATGCGTATATAGCCTCTGCCAGGGAAATCCTACTCACTGCCTTCTCGTGGCGGGGGTGTTGTTTACAAAAGTGAGAGGACGAAAAGCGAATGTCTGGCGCTTTAACCGGACCCCAAACCAATGGTGCACATGGGCTCCAGTATCCTGAAGGAACAAATGGCGTATGAACCAATCGTTGGTCACCGGCTACCATGGGACTGCATCTCCTCACGATGCTCCACTGCCTTGTGGATCAGATCTTCAGGTCGAAGGCTCGGGGTGTGGCCCCCTAAGAAAACCACCTGCTTCGGTTTGGGCACCCGAGCAGTATCACAGCCCTCACACAAATCAATTGAGATTTGTGTGGCGCATATGTATTTGGTGCCTCCCTGTACCTATACTTATGTGTTAAAATAAATAAATAAATAAATAACGTAGAACTTATTGTGATCAATGCAACGCTGCGTCAGCGCAGAGAAAGCGAAAAGAAAACAGTACTAAGAGTAATAATTATAATGTAAAGATAACATAGAGGATATAGTGTTGACTAATCGGGGAAATTATTGGATTAAACGCATCGGATACATTTCACAGGTTCAATTTTAGTCATGTAGTATTTACAGTAACGTGTGGTAATATCAGGGATGAAGTCATACTGACAACCGGATAGGAATGTGGAAGACGAAAATTCGGTTCCACGGGGTTTTTCTTTTTATGTTAAGAGAGATTCACAGGTCATCGCTATAAATTTTTTTCTGGACTTACAGCTATTCGCCATCAAAAATCGTCCGTCAAGAAATTGACGAAACTCTCCAACTGCTAAAATTTGCAAGAAGCACACATTTGATAGCACAAAACTAACTTCCTTCTCGTGACATATATCTTAAGAGGATGTAACCTTTTGCCGCGTGGCTAGGCGAGATAGCCGCCGTCACAACACAGATGAGTTCCGAATAAATAACAGCTAATGTCGATTTCAGTAAATTGGAATACCACTAGTGCTTGGCTAAAAGCATACTGTTAACTACACAGTAAAGCATCCATCTTAAAAACCCTATTTGAAATAGGATAGATAGCACATCGGGTAAGTTCCGAGGAAAGTCTTAGTAATAGGTGATTTCCTCATATTTGAAGAACACGTATCTTATGATTTCATTTTGATAACCAACAATTGCCTTTCAACACTAAGCTAGTTGACATGATGATTGCCCATACGAAGTCACAGATAAGTCACTGTAATGGTTCATTGTTAGGTTGGATAGATAGAAGACTGCCACTTTATTCCGGGTGACTTCTGAACTGTAATTACTCGTTACCCTGACAGAGCCAAAATGGTTTACGCACGGAATCAGACGTTACGCAACGACCATGAGAAATGGCAGGTAGTAGGCTGTCATCGAATAGTAGCCAGCAATTATTTGAATTGTTTCCCAGAAGTCTATAGTCAACAAGACTAGCAGAGGGAAAGATGGAATGTTGATAAGCTTTAGAAGAATGTGACTGATCATAGGTCACTCAAGGTAGTTAAGATGGTTTTTCTGAATAGTTTGAGCTAAAAAACCCAAAATATAGATAGATTTAAAAACTTGAACGAAACTACCAAGCCACGTTAGATATCATATTTTACGATCGAGGCATAAAACTAGAATCCACATGATTGATAAAAATCTTACAAATCTACTCACTTCGTGCAAAGTAATTTGATTTGTGACTTTAGCTTCTCTATCTCTCTGCGACAAGCAAGTCCCAAGCGGAAGAAGTTGTCTGTAATTTGGTCTTTTTTAGCAATTAAAACCAAGCGTTCTTTCTCTAGACGACTGACGTGTGCATTCAGTGCCTCAACTTCAGCTTCCAATAATGAAGATTGGCATTGGAGAGAACGTACATGTTCGGGCTTTAAGAAAGAAAGATGACATCAGCTTTAAGTTCTTAGCGTGCAGCAATAAAACTAAAGAACAAAAGCCATAACAACAACCATGGCAAATTCTGAATAGTTTCCAGAGTAATTAGGTATGATCTAAAGACTGTAACTTGATAACTGCCTACACGCTCCTTGCCACACAAAATGCGTCTTATTTGTAAATTATGATGATATCAGACGATTTTCGACACACTGTCCTAAAATATTTCTGGTACGTCACCAAGGCAGTTGTTTCCCAATAACAAGTCTGTTTTTGTCGTGTAGAACAATGTCTAATTTTACGTTGACCATGAGAGCGGTCGAAACAAATTGGCCCCTGATACTAAAGTAAACTTGATACTGGAACTGATGCGTGCGACGTCTTGTTGTTTGAAAACTAGATATAACGAGTCAAAGCAACAGTAGGAAAAATCTATAGAAATCAATAGAGCAAATTTCATGAAAACTTTGATACCACATCCAAACTGCACAGATATTCCAGTCTTTTTTCATCATCTTCAGCCACAATTTCACTATAAAGATCGAGGTCAGTCATCTTTGACCAGTGAACTTGCTATAAAAAAAGCTCCGAAGACGGTAGCGTCAATTGGGGATTAGACCGCCTATAGAGCGCTATTAAAATTACAAATGTCAAACTTTGTGAGAGAGAAATGACTAGTTGTGATTATTGAGGTGTGAGTTTGAAGGATCTCAAAAACATAAAAGCATAAATATCTTATCCGTCTGTCACATCGAAGAACAGAAGAATGGATGGGTGAAACGATTTAAGGAATTGCTAAATAGACCATCTCCATTGGATTCACCGGACATCGAAGCAGCACATACAGACCTTCCTATAGATGTCACTCCATCAATGATTGAAGAAATCAGGATGTCCATAAAACAAATTAAGAGTGAGAAAGCAGCAGGATCTGACAATATACAAGCTGAGGCACTGAAGTCAAACATAGAAGCAGCTGAAAAAATGCTCTGTGTTCTATTCAAGAAGTCTTGGGGGGAATAACAAGTGCCAATGAACTGAAAAGAAGGATATCTCGTCAATATACAAAAGGAAGGAGATTTGGGCAAATATGAAAACTATTAAGGCATCACACTACTGTCGGTACCAGGAAAAGATTTCAGTGTTGCTGGCCCGGATGAAAGATTCAATCGACTCCCAAATTCGAGATCAGCAGGCCGGATTCCGTAAGGATAGGTCGTGCACAGACCAAATCACGACACTACAGATCATCATTGAGCAATCAATTGAGTGAAACTCGTCACTATACATCAACTTCCTTGACTATGAGGTAGCATTTTACAGTGTAGATAGGAGGACCTTATGGATTCTTCTTCGACACTATGGTGTACCTCAGAAAATCGTCAACCTCATCCGGATTTCACACGACAGACTGCAGTGCAAAGTTGTGCATGGAGGACAGCTGACAAACTTACTCTAAGTAAGGGCTGGAGTCAGACAAGGCTGCTTGCTCCCCCTCTTTCTCTTTCTTCTGGTGGTTGGATGGAATATCTAGACCTCCATATCTGAAAGGAAACACGGATAGCTTGGGTGCAACTAGACGATTCGGACTTTGCAGATGACCTGACTCTTCTATCCCACACACAGCAACAAATGAAAATGAAAACAGCCAGTGTAGCAGAAGCCTCTGCATCAATAGTCTTCAACATACATAATGGAAAAAACAAGGTCCTCAACTAAAACACAGAGAACACCAGCATTATCACACTTGGTAGAGAAACTCCGGAAGAGGTGAAAACTCTCACGTCCACGGGCATCATCATCGATGGACAGAGAGGATCTGATGCAGAATTAAAGACAAGGATCGGCAAAGCAATGGTTGCATTCTTACAATTGAAAAACATATGGAAATCAAAACAACTATCAACCAATATCAAAGTTACATTCTTCAGTACAAACGTCAAGACAGTTCTACTGAAACTTAAAGAACTACTACAACCATCATCAAAAAAGTAAATTTATTTATGAACAATTGTCTGAACAAGATACTCAATGTCCGTTGGTCGGATATCAGCTGCAACAGACTACTGTATGAGAGATCAAATCAGCCTCCAACTGAAGAGGAAATTAGGAAAAGATGTTGGAGGTGGACAGGACATATATTACGGAAACCACCAAACTGCATCATGAGGCAAGCCCCAACTTGGAAACCTGAAGGGAAGAGGAAAAGAAGAAGGCCAAAGAACACATTACGTCGGGAAATAGAAGCGGATATGAAAAGGATGAATAACAACTGGAAAGGATTGTCCAGGACAGAGTTCGATGTAAAATGCTAGTTGGCGGCCTATGCTCCTCCTTGAGTCGTAACAGTCGAATATATGTACATTGATCTTTTTTAATTATGTTCTTCGTTGGTTTTCCATCATTTTCAATTATATTCGGAAACAAATAAGCGTTAACGGCATGTTGTGTATACTAGTATGGAAGTAACGATACAAAACATACGATTAACTAGTATTCACATGTGCAGAAAACATGCGATGCCGTAAAATGCCACACTTTAATTTTTTTTATTTTTTCAGATCAAAACCTACACATTTATGAGAATAATAGTGCGAAATATGTTTCTGTCTTCCTTGACACAAGTATACATACAATATAAAACAAAACGTTATGCAGTGTTCAATGAAATGTGTTCATGTATGTGTTCTGGAATTATTACTTTTTTTCAGAGAGCGTTGTTCATTGGAGGTTATCCGATACCAGTGAAGTTTTTTCGTGAATGATGATTATTGGGAACGGCATCGTAACTATGGGGTCCGCGTCAAATAAAATCGAAATTATTGGAGTTTTCTTCTGAATACACAGATTTATGATGGTGAATCCTGATATTATAGTTAGTTCGGTTCTTATCGACGGTACATCACTTGAGGTCACAATTAAGTGTTTTGTGGGGCACTTCGCATTCAGCTTGTAAATGTCGGAGTAATAATTCACAACGTATGAAAGCTCATACTCTTAGTTGTAAGGTGGATTGGACGATAACTTAAATTAACTGCCTCCTAGTGGAAGCACGTTTAACTATACGTATCGCACTTGCAAGTCTGCTCGTGTAAGAGCCTATATCCACATTGTTTGAAGAAAATGAAGGACCAACGAATTTTCTCGGAAGTCGAAGTGCTCTTTTGTAAACGATTCGTACTGCAGTGTATCAAGCATCAGCATTTACTGCATTGCGAAAACCAAGTAACATAAGTGAAAGAGCGTCTGTCCATTGTGATACGGTTGCGAGTCAAAAGGAAGCTCTTAAGAATCAGTGAAGTCGTTCTGCCAACCTTTAGCTTGTAGGTGGTATATGGTCCTTCGAAATCGTACGGTACCTAGTGGTGTGGTAAGACAACAGGAAAGTCCAGATTCCAACTGGAATCCACAGTTTGTAGTACTATTTGAAGGGCAGTCAAATTTTGCTAAATACCGTTCGATTGGGGCATGGGCCTCTGTTTCAGCCGTGATGTCCTTGACGGTACTGCTTCTGGCCATCATGTGAAATGGCCCACAAATCTTAATAGATAAGATTGTCCGTTTGAATCTGATAAAGGTTCTACCAATTCAAGATTGGCGTGGTCACAACATGCGTTAGGAGTCGCTCAAAAACCTGAGGGAAACTTTTTGCAGAATCATCTCAGATTTTTGGGAGATTACAAAATAACGTAACCACTCACTCACATCGTTATTCATGCCAGGCCAAAAAAATCGTTCAGCTATGAGTTTAATAACTGCGACAACACCTGGATGCGAAAGCTTGTGCGACGTGCTGAATACGTTCCGTCGATAAGGTTTCAGCACTATTCGACGACCCCTACCTGTAGATGGATCGTATAAAAATGTTGCCTGACCCGTTCACGTCTGTTTAGCCAGTAGTGTCAAGAATCTGAATGACAATTTGTACTTAATATCGGTATCTTCCTCTTAAAGTTTTGCAAACGTAAGAAGATTGAAGCTTTGGAAACTGTTCGATGAATCTACACGAGACAAGGTGCCTACAACTACATTGTTCACCCCAGAGATATGTTGTATATCTGAAGTAAACTGAGGAATGTAGTCTAGCTGTCGAGACTCTGGAGGATAGTAATCGTTTGAAGACAAGCTAAAAGAAAAAGTATGAGGTTTACATTCCGTAGATAGTGAGTTCGCATCACCGTACATTGTGTTAAAAGTGCTGCACAGCACAATACATGGCTGGGAGCTCCCCAAAGAAAGAAGTGATCATAGGGATTTTATGGATGTCGTCTACAGCCATTGGAAACTGGTTATATTCTTCGACCAGGTAGACTTTTAAGCAGACAGTTGTACCTATTCAGGTGGCTTTCGCGTCATGAATATGGTGCAAGGGGTTATGGAATTATGGACTGATTTGTTATTAATATTGCTGTGATAACAGATCTAATCTTGAAATTGTGGATTTGTCATGATGGGAAAACCTTATTTATAAAATCTCACATAGAAGTCACATCATTGTCTGTTTTGGCTCATTGCATCGTAAAAATTGGCAATATGTTTGGCGTTTCTACAGAAAACACATTTAGGCTAGAGATAGAGCAATATATTTAGTGTGAATAGAAGAGATAAGCTACGCAAGAACGACGAAGCTTGCAAGGCTGAGTCATGCCATCCGATTTAACATCGAATAAGTGTTCCCGTGTTCACCATTGTGGACCTCTTCGTGTTGGTCATTAAATATAAATCCTTTCAGTAATTATATGCTTGGCTTCAAATGTCGTGTGGCTGGGAACCAATGCCACTACAGTAAAGCGATAGTGAATGGCTTTTGCATTCAGTCACCGATAATCACCAGTTGGACGCTAATCGTTGCTATCCTTTTCCGGGACCGTATACAAAGGAGATGCCCATAGGCTGAATAATTCCCGAGTCTATTATGTGCTGGTATTTGTTTTTGGCCAACCTTAGCTTTTCGGAATCCACTTGACACGCTCTCGAAAATTCAATTGGTACTGTGGTCGTGATGAGGTGTGCAACATTCCTGGGTACTCACGGTAATTTTGATTGCGTTGCGGACAGTTCGGGTACTTGTTGAGTATTTGTTAGGAGTATAGGTCGATTATGTGCTTAACAATAGCTGGGACAACCTACAACCAGATGTTAGTTATACATGAGTTTGTTCTTATTCACTGATGTGTAAGCTGTTAGCCGTGTAAACAGGCTTTTCGTTTGTAATTATATACATTATTCGAATTTAAGCAGTTAACGATTAACTTATATTTTTTGTAATAAGTCCATCACGATGTGATATATAGAGATAACGAATCTGATTAAAATATTCTTTGTCAGTATAAGTAAGCTGACTGCAGGTATACTGAGACACGAAGTTATTGAACACAAATGGAATACTTGTAACAGCGTAGGTCGATTGGTTAAGAGTCGATCTCAAGCAACTAGGCATATGTCAAAACAGCATAGTTCAGATAGTTATTCACGTCTTTATTCTGTATAGGCGTTATATTCCTAATTATCTTGTATTGTATATTGAGAGGCTTTGTTTGTCTGAGTAAGGAATCCCACGCTCCACTGTGACCGCGCGAAGATCAAAATAAAGACCTATTTTCCTACGAGTCTGGTTTCTTCTATTAGTAA